CTACTCAGGAGGCTGAGGCAAGAGAATTGCCTGAACCTGGGAGGCGGAGGTTGTGGTGAGCCAAGATCGCGCCATTGCACTCCAGCCTGGGTAACAAGAGCGAAACTCCATCTCAAAAAATAAATAAATAAATAAAAACCCAAGAGTAACCTCTGTTGCAATAAATATTTTAGTCCACAAAAAAAAAAAAAAAAACAGCAGGGCTGGGTGCGGTGGCTCACACCTGTAATCCCAACACTTTGGGAGGCCGAGGTGAGTGGATCATGAGGTCAAGAGATCAAGACCATCCTGGCCAACATGGTGAAACCCTGTCTCTACTAAAAATAGAAAAATTAGCTGGGCGTGGCAGCATGCACCTTTATTCCCAGTTACATGGGAGGCTGAGGCAGGAGAATCAATCGCTTGAACCTGGGAGGTGGAGGTTGCAGTCAGCTGAGATCTCACTACTACACTCCAGCCTGGCAACAGAGCAAGACACTGTCTTAAAAAAAAGGAACACAAATACAAAAGTAAGCTGTTTAAGAGCTGAGATGAACTTGTCTGTTTACATTTTTGGGGTTCAATAAGGAAAAACAGGTTTCTCCCCCAAGGGGAGTCTGGCACCTTCTTGGTTTTCTTTAAGGAACCTCAGGCTATTATAAACTATTTTAGACCCTTCATGCAACAGAGGGTGCGACAGAAAGGAGAGACAGCAGAAGTAAATGAAAAGAACAGAGTTCAGTCAACTGAGAAGAAAAAAGCTTTTGCTCAAAAAAAAAAGATAAGGTCCTAGGAGAAAAACAAAAACATGGAGGCCTTTCAAATACAAACAGACATGTATGCACACATATACACACACATCTTGGATGTAGCTTTTAATTAAGCTGACTTTTGACCATTGAGCTCCTTTAAAATATCTTTTAAGTCTCATTACCATATTTAGCTAGGACACATTGCTGCTATTTCAGCCATTGCTCTTTCAGTTTGGCCTGGGTAGCAAATAGGTGGCCTTGTTTTGTAAGTTAAGACCCTTAGTAGTCAAAATAGAAAACCTTTCCTCTTGTTTTTTTTTTTAATTTTTTTTTTTTTTGAGACGGAGTTTCGCTCTTGTTACCCAGGCCGGAGTGCAATGGCGCGATCTCGGCTCACCGCAACCTCTGCCTCCTGGGTTCAGGCAATTCTCCTGCCCCAGCCTCCTGAGTAGCTGGGATTACAGGCACGCGCCACCATGCCCAGCTAATTTTTTGTAGTTTTAGTAGAGATGGGGTTTCACCGTGTTGACCAGGATGGTCTCGATCTCTTGACCTCGTGATCCACCCGCCTCGGCCTCCCAAAGTGCTGGGATTACAGGCTTGAGCCACCGCGCCTGGCCTTTTTTTTAATTTTTAATTTTTTTCTTTCTTCTCGCCCTCCTCCCCCCTATCCCAGACGGAGTCTCGCGCTGTTGCCAGGCTGGAGTGCAGTGGCGCAATCTTGGCTCACCACAACCTCTGCCTCCCGGGTTCAAGCAATTTTCCTGCCTCTGCCTCCCGAGTAGCTGGGATTACAGGTGCCTGCCACCACGCACGGCTAATTTTTGTATTTTTAGTAGAGATGGGATTTCACCATGTTGGCCAAGATGGTCTCAATCTCTTGACCTCATGATCTCCTGCCTCAGCCTCCCAAAGTTCTGGGAGTACAGGCGTGAGCCACCGTGCCCAGGCCTCCTCTTTTTTTTCCTTTTGATGGCCATGTTTCTCTCCCACCATACCATGCATGTGTGTGTGGGTGTGCCTGCGTGTGTCTGTGTGTGTGTGGGGGTGTGAATTTAGCCACTTCAGAGGCCTTGTTCCCCATAATTTGGAACTGTCCTTTGGATTTGATGAAGTCAGAGTTGATCAAACCCAATGGGAAAATGACCAAAACAACAACAACAACAAACAGTAACAACGAAAACAGTTAAGCAAAACAAATGACGGCGCAACATACACGGCCACTGAGCGCACTAGGGGTGAGGAGAAACTGAGACCAGCTGGTTGTTAATCTTAACTTTGGCCAAGACAAATGCCAATTCAGTTGCTTACCTAGGGGTGGGTCTCAGGCTCTCTGCCATCCCAGAGGCAGGAAAGAAACCTCATCCCTGCTGCGAGCGAGTACAGACTCCATAGAGGAGTTACTGTCTTCCACTGTCACAGAAGCAGGAAAAACTTGCCTTCCCTGTTGGAAACAAGTAAAACTGTTAAAAAAAAAAAAAAAAAAAAAAAAAAAAGGCAGTGTATAGCAACATAAACTTTAGATCTCAATCAAATTTTGGGAGATCAGGGATTCTCTGCAGGGGGCACTGCCAGACCTCAGCAAATTGTCCTGTTGGTTTGAGCCATAAAGTTAGCTCATTCCAGTACAAAGCACCGATAGCAGTTTTGTCAAAGGTCAGGGGCGTCTCCACTCAGAATCCCTTCGTGGCTGCCAAAATGTGAACCCAGAAAATCTGAGACAGGTCTCAGTTCATTTAGAAAGTTTATTTTGCCAGGTTGAGGGTGCACGCCCATGACACAGCTCAGGAGGTCCAGCGCTGTGCCCAAGGTGGTCGGGACAGAGTTTGGTTTTGTACATTTTAGGGAGACGGGAGACATCAACATAGGTTAAGTGAACATTGGTCCAGTCTGGAAAGACAGGACAACGCGAATCAAAGGCAGGAAGACTCCAATGGGGAGGGGCTTCCAGGTCACAGGTAGGTAAGAGACAAACAGTTGCCTTCTTCTGCACTTCTGATTAGCCTTTCCAAAGGAAGCAATCAGATATGCATTGATCTCAGTGAGCAGAGCGGTGACATGGAATAGAATGGGAGGCAGGTTTGCCCTAAGCAGCTTAGTGATATTTTCCTTTCACACTGCCGAGCCCCAGGAACCTGTGCTTGTCACTGTGGTGGACAGGTTCAGCCAGTGAGACCGTGCAGGCAGTGCCCTCAGCGCTTCCTAGGACAGGGCCTGGTGAGCATGTGGGCACTCGGTATCCAAGTCTGTAACTGGCTGAGTGGAGCACGGTGTTCAAGGGTCTGTTCCTCCTGGGACTGTTTCTCCAGGATAATCATTTTTTTTTTCGAGATGGAGTCTCGCTCTGTGGCCCAGGCTGGAGTACAGTGGACAAACTCGGCTCACTGCAGCCTCCATCCACCCCCCACCCTGGGTTCAGGCGATTCTCCTGCCTCAACCTCTGGAGTAGCTGGGATTACAGGCATCCACCACCACACCCAGCTAATTTTTTGTATTTTTAGTAGGGACGGGGTTTCATCGTGTTGACCAGGCTGGTCTCGAACTTCTGACCTCATGATCCACCTGTCTCGGCCTGCCAAAGTGGTGGGGTTACAGGCATGAGCCACTGTGCCTGGCCTGAGAATTCTTTCTTTCATTTTGGTTCTACTGTAAATATTTTCCCACATCAAAATTCTTCACAAACAGAATCTAAATGGTTGCATATTTTATCAAGTGGCCACACCATAATGCATCTAGTGATTTTCTTACCAATGGTCCTTGATGATGTTGGCAAGTGTTACTACGGCACTGTGGTGGGCGGTTTTTTGTCTCCATTTCTGAACTTCCAGTTGAGGCTCACCTTCTGTTCACATAATCTCCACCACTCAGCATGGCGTGTGAAGCTTTTCCTGGAAGCCCAGGCCAGCTGGCCTTGCTGGTGAGCATGGAGGATCCAGTGGGCCAGGGAGTCAGAGAGTCCCAGGAAGGGGTCCAGGTCTTGCTTCAGGTTTGCAGCCATGGCATGTGGGGTGGGGGGCAGGCTCTGGCTCCCTCAAAGTGGCCTCCACAGGAGGGGAAGCTGTGCCTTTTGCATGCATCTTGGCTGGACTCGTGTTTGAGCTGGGACAGAGCCTGGTACTTTGTTTCCCTTTTCAGGTATCCGGGGTCTCTGCTGGCGTCTGGAAGCAGGTGTTTTGTCTAATGTGTCTGGTTTTGTAGTTGTTCACAGCCAGAGGGAAAGACTCATAGCAGTGAGTCCCTCCTGGTCAGAGGCAGAAGTGCCCCTCACCCACCTTTCCCTCACTGCCGATGTGGGAGCTGAGTGGGTGGGGCCTGTCTCTCCTGTGCTGGAGGCGCCGCCTTGCCTCCTGGTCCTCCCATCTTGGTGGCTCCTTGCGGGTTCTGTCTTTCCTGTGCCTGCCCTTTGACCCTAGTGTAACGCATCTGTTTTCTCTGGTTGCTTTCAGAGTTTCCATTTTGTCGCTGATTTTTCAGCAATTTGACTATGCAGTGCTCTTCGGTATGATTTTCTGTTCATCTTGCGTAGGGTTCATTGACCGTCGTGCTGTGTTGCTTGGTTTTCATCACAGTGTGGCACCTGTGGCCTTGTTGTGGACGCGCCTCTTGCCCTCTCGTTCACCTCAGCCCCTGGTTCTTTGTGCAGGGTGCTGCTTCACCTTGTCCCTGGTCTCCAGAGCTCTGCTCATTTTTCTTTCTTTGGCCCCTCTCCTTGTGAACTTTTGTTTGGGTATTTTCTGCTGCCAGTGTTTATATTCACTGCCTTTTCTTCTGCACTCTCTGACCTGCTCATCATCCTGTTCAGTGGATGTTTTATTGTACTAAATAAAGTAAACTTAATGTAAAACTGGCCACTTTAACTAGTTTTTGGCCACAGTTCAGCAGCATAAAGCACATTCACACCGTTCTACAGCCATCACAACACCTGTCTCCAGACGTTCTCATCTTCCCAAACTGAGGCTCTGTCCCCAGGAAACACTCCCTGCCCCCAGCCCCAGCACCCCATTCCACTTTTCTGCCTCTTTGGATTTGACACTCCAGGGATCTCAGCAGTATGGAAGGCTTCAGGAATTTGAATGTCATATTAGTCCTTCTGTCAGGTCAGAAAGAAGGGACATCACAGCCTGGGATGGGGAGGGCAGCAGGGGCCACAGCCCAAGCTGAAGCAGGGGACTGGCCTGAGAGGGGCGCTGGGAGGGCGGAGGCACAGTCCATCAGGAGCAGCTGGGGAACCATTCATCTTTTGTGGCCATCTTTCCTTGTATTTGACAGGTGCTCCTCAGGCAGCATGAAGAAGAAATAAGTAAAGACTTTCCATCCAGTGAGATCCAGCGCTTGCGAGAGCAGAACATGAGCTTGCGAAACGTGATTGCACAGATGAGGAAAGAAATGGAGACTCTCAGCCATCAGATTCCTCTTCCCGCCCAGAGAGCGGGGGAGAGCACAGAGGCAAACCAGCCTGACCCAAAGGCAGGGGGAGATGCAAACCAGCCTGACCTAAAGGCGGGGGCAGATGCCGCCACTCCTGGTGAGTAAGGGGGAGAAGTGGAGAAGGGGAGACAGGGACAGAAAGGGGAAGGGGGAGAGGAAGGGAGGAGGACAGATGGGAGCATAGGTCTAGGCTGACTTCAAGGAGGTTTCATTTCAGAGTCCTATAAGTTAACATCCCCTGTAACAAATTCAAAGTATGGGCCCGGTGCAGTGGCTCATGCCTGTAATCCCAGTACTTTGGGAGGCCAAGGTGACCATGAGGTCAGGAGATGGAGACCAGCCTGGCCAACATGGTGACACCATGTCTCTACTAAAAATACAAAAATTAGCTGGGCGTGGTAGTGTCTGCCTGTAGTCCCAGCTACTCTGGAGGCTGAGGCAGGAGAATCACTTGAACCTGGGAGGCAGAAGTTGCAGTGAGCCGAGATCGAGCCACTGCACTCCAGCCTGGTGGCAGAGCTAGACTCTGTCTCAAAATAAATAAATTAATTAATTAATTTAAAAATAAAAATAAATTCAACGTATGAAAACTGCTTTTTACTCCAACAGAAAGAATCTTAAGTTTTATACCAAAAAGCTTTTCAGTTTGTCAAGTGGAAGGAAAAATGAGGGTACCTGCTTGACACACTCAAAAACCTAAGTCTTAGACTTGGACCAGGGCTGGCTTGGTGCCACGCCATCCCTGAGCAGTTGGTAGCAGGCGCCAGTGGACCTTGGGCCCTTCCTCCAGCGCAGCATCCGTGGCAGAGCTGCTGAGGGCCACCCAACGCCCAGGGACTCCATGAGTGGCCGTGGGTGGGTGGATGCCGGGATGGATGCAGAGTGTCTGTTCTCAAGATGGGACTCGGCTCCCCCGGACAGAGGCACGTGGGCTGGCAGCAGGTGGAGCGTTTGCTCCTGATTGCTGAGCCCTTCCTGGAGAGCACAGAGGCTGTGCTGGTCTCTGGCTGCCACACCCTAGCGAGTGAGGGGAGGGGAGGCCTTTCAGTCTGGCACACACACACAGAGTGTGGAAACTGCTGTGAAGCTGCTGTATGGGGAGGACAGGGACAGTAAAGCCAGTGGGCATGAGCTGGAATTGACTCCCTGAGCTGGTGCTCACGGCCAGGAGGTGGGAAAGGATGCTGTGTATGTGTTATGTTCACGGGGCTTTTTTTTTTTTTTGGCAGATTATGTTCTGGCCCTTGAAGCAGAAATACGAAATCTAAAGCATAAGTTTAAAACCCTGGAAGAGCAGCTGGAAGATGTGTTGGATCCTTTAACCATGTCGTCACCTCGTGCTAAGTCTCAGCCCAGCATCTGCACCTCGACAGAGACCACTGGTAAGAGTCTGCATCTCACCGGGCTACTTGCTGTCCCTTTACAAACCGAAACCTGCAGAAAGCCCACTCACTCAGTCGTACAGCTCGAGGCTATTGTGGAGGTCAGCATCCTCAGGCCCAGCAGCCCCCAGTGCTCCCTGCAGAGCCCATGTGTGCCAGCTACTCCCTGCAGCTGGCGCTCCCTGTGTCGGTGTGAATGGAATTCTGTGGCACCTGTGCTTCTGTCTGTGAATGGAATTCTGTGGCACCTGTGCTTCTGCCTGGCTTCTTCAGACCTGCGTTGTGTTTCCTTTGCTAATGCCAGGCTCTTCTCCAAAGCATCATACAATTCACACTCTGTCAGCGGCGTGCGAGGAAGCCCCTGGTGCCGCATCCATGCCAGTTCCTGCATGGTCAGCAGCTCTTCTGTTCCCTCTAGGGGACATGTAGCACATCCTGTTTTGGTTTAATTTGCAAATTCGGCCGGGCGCGGTGGCTCAAGCCTGTAATCCCAGCACTTTGGGAGGCCGAGGCAGGTGGATCACGAGGTCAAGAGATCGAGACCATCCTGGTCAACATGGTGAAACCCCGTCTCTACTAAAAATACAAAACATTAGCTGGGCATGGTGGCGCGTGCCTGTAATCCCAGCTACTCAGGAGGCTGAGGCAGGAGAATTGCCTGAACCCAGGAGGCGGAGGTTGCAGTGAGCCGAGATCGCGCCATTGCACTCCAGCCTGGGTAACAAGGGCGAAACTCCGTCTCAAAAAAAAAAAAAATTTGCAAATTCTTGGGATTGAACATTTCTGTGTGCATGGGTGTATGATTGGCTAGGGCTGCCATAACTCAACACCATATCCTGGGTGGCTAAGAAAACCAGGATTTATTGTCTCACTTCTGGAGTCTGCATGTTTGAGATCAGGCTGCCGGCAGGGTGGGTTCCTCCTGAGGCCTTTCCATAGCTTGCAGACGGTGCTCTCTCCCTGTGTCCTAGTGTGGCCTCTCCCTGTGTCCTCATGTGGCCCCTCCCCTGCGTGCTCACTCCTGGTGTCTCTTCCTCTTCTTATAAAGACTCTAGTCCAGGGCCCCACCCTTGGGACCTCATGTGGCCTTAACTGCCTCCTTAAAGGCCCTGTCTCCAAATGTAGTCATGCTCGGGGTTAGATCTTCAACCTATAAATTTGGAGGGGACACAGTTCAGTCCATAGAATTGGCCTTTGATAGCCTCTCTTTTGAAGCTCCAGGTCAAGTCTTTTGCTCATTTTTCATTGGATTATCTGCCTTTTGTCATAGAATTTTAGGGTGTTTCATTCTGAATATGAGCCTATTGTCAGTTATATGTGTTGCAATTATCTTCTCCCAACCCATGGTTTGCCTTTTATTCTTCACTGGTGTCTTTGGTGAATGGAAGATCTTAATTTCAAGACAAACGCCGAGGCTAGTCTATTCCATTGTGGTAAGTCCAACATCAAAAGGTTCATTCTAACATTCTAGCTTTCTTTTTCGTTATTTTAATTTCCTTTTTCATTATTCTAACTTCCTTTTCGCCGGTGATCACTAACAGAGTTACTTAGATAGAGTCCTCTTGGTGTAACCAATCCCCCATTGCTGCTGCAGCCCCTTCCTCTATTTGGAGGCCCCTCTCCTGCCTAGATGCCCCCACACCAGCGAGCTTGACAGCCCACCCTGGCTGCCTTCCACAGAGATGCCCCTCACCCTGCTGGAGCCACAGCCCCACTTAGCATAGGGGAGGCAGGCCCCACCTGCAGCCCTAAGGCAGGAAAAGAAAGGGAGGGGCCTGACAGGACATTCCACCGGCATCGTCAGATTGTCTCAAATAAGGGAGGTTTTGGCCAGGTGCTGGAGTGCGTGCCTGTAATCCCAGCACTTTGGGAGGCCGAGGTGGATAGATCGCCTGAGGTCAGGAGTTCAAGACCAGCCTGGCCAACATGGTCAAACCCCATCTCTACTAAAAATACAAAAATTAGGCCGGGCGCGGTGGCTCAAGCCTGTAATCCCAGCACTTTGGGAGGCAGAGGCGGGTGGATCACGAGGTCAAAAGATCGAGACCATCCTGGTCAACATGGTGAAACCCCGTCTCTACTAAAAATACAAAAAATTAGCTGGGCATGGTGGTGCGTGCCTGTAATCCCAACTACTCAGGAGGCTGAGGCAGGAGAATTGCCTGAACCCAGGAGGCGG